TTGCAGCACGCAGTATGTCGCATCTTTGGCATGTAACTAATAATACATGCAACAACTCTCGGGTAGGATTGCACTGCTTCCCAGTGGAGATACGGCCAGGCGGCGTCGCGATCCACATCGATTGTTATCCGCGTCGGGCGACTTCAATAAGGCGAGCGGAGATGCGGGGAGAGATGTTGGTAGGATGACATTTTCGTATCTGCCATCCGCGATGCCCAGGAGCTCTAGCGCGTGAGAGCCGAAGTTCGACCGCCGCTCAGCCCCCTGGCGGAAGGCGGCAGCGGCCGGTGTCGCGTCCTCCGTCTCCGTCTCCGCGTCGCCGGCGTGGGCGCGAAATTGAAAATCGCGGTCGGGTGCGCCGCCCGCGGCTTGCACTGCCCCCTCGAAGTCGTCGATTACCATCGCATGGTGTCCGCTGGGGGCCTTCCGCAGCGGGATGCGAACCGCGCCCGCGGGCCATTGGATCTGGGCACCGCCGCTGCCGAACAAGATCAGCTCGCGTTGGCCCGCGCCCAGGATCGCGCGCGCGGGCCCCATGCTGCGCGCGCCAAGCAGGCCGGGCGCGTTGCTGCCCGATCCTCTGACAACGGGTGCCGTGAAGCTGTGGATGGTAGCCTTGCCTCGTTCGCCCGTGGCGGCAATGGGGGCGCTCGCCTGGTGGGTGCACTCTTGGGCCCCGTTGCCACCTCATTGGGTGCTCGGGAGCTTGCTCATGACGTGAGGAGCTGCTTCGGCCGACGCGCTGCCTCTACGGCTCGGCGGCGCAGCCGGCGCGCGGGCTCCTCGCCCATGCGGTTGGTCCACGCACCTGGGCCCACGATGGCGCTGGCTCGCCCGGAGGGAACTGCGCGCGACTGCGCTGCGCCTGAGCAGCGCTCTTGGGCGCAGGACGCCGTCAATGGGCCAGGGCCTGCGTGGCCTCTGAAGCGGCCACCGCCGCCGCTGCCGCGTGGTGATGATGCGGTGCGTCGCGGGCGCTCAACGCGGAAGTGTCACTCGCTCCCGCAGATGCTGCGCGTCATGGCGGTCCCGTCGTAGCCTTGCGGATTGCGGCGTCTGCCCTCTCCTTTGCCAGGCAAGCGTTTGCCTTTGCCCTGTCCTTTTCCAATTGAGAGAGCCTGATCCACTTGGAAAGCTGAAGGCCCCATGAGGAGTGGTACTCCTGGGAACCCTTGTCTATTGTCCTTGTCTTTTTATGGAAAAGGTGCTGCGCCTTGCTGAACCTGCGAGCCTTATGAGTAGGACGTTGCATGTGTCTGCGCCGCTGTCGTTTGACGATCTTCATGTGCCAGAACAACTGGACATTAATCTGGGCAAGGCTGAGATCATGGAGCTCGGGCACTTGGTGGTCGAACTCTCCGCCTGGGTCTGAGCGCGTGTCTGAAGAGGCCCCGCTGCCGCAGTCAGCCCCGTGCGCGGGCGCCCGCGCGGCGGCCGTGTGAGCTGCCCGCGATGGCGCGGTGCTCTGCGACGGGCCGGTAGCGCGCGACATGGCGCATCCCACGCCGGGAAGCTCGGCGGCGCGCGCAGCCCAAGGGACGAGACCTTGGTCATGCCCGCGCGTCTTGCGAACGATGGCAGCGCACGAATGGCGCTGGCGATGTTGTTTGGTGCGTGCTTCACGATGTGACGCGCGAGCGCCTGAACGTAGTCGCGAGATTGTTGAGCTCGCTGGGGCAGCGCCATGATGTGGCTAGCTGCGACGCCGGCCGCTCGGAGGAGCAGCCAGCCGTAGCCTTCCCAAGACATCGCAGCTCCACCGTTGTGCGTAACTCGAAGGCGCAGCGTGGAACATCGTGAGAGCAGTGCGTCGGGCGTCGGTGGTTTCGTTGCGCCGCCTCGAGAACTCGAAGAGTTCGCGGTTTGCTTGGGGGCGCGATTCCTGGCCGAGTGGGCCGAACTGTGTGGCGAGGTTCGCGATGAGGTAGGTCACGGCGTCCTCTGTCTGGCCGTTGACTCTGCCTCCATCCGTCGTCTCCGCGAAGCTCATGGAGCGCGTGAGCTCGCGAGCGGCCCCGCCGAGGTTGAGGGCGACGGCAACGCATTGTTGCTACCACGCTCCAACCGAGTTAGTCCTGTACCCAATGGCGGAAGGGATACATGGACTCGCGCTCGGGTGACCATGGGGGCGGCTGGCGGGATGGGATGGCGCCGCGGCCGCCGCCGCCCTGTGGGCCGGTTCCACCAGGCATCACGCCAGTGAAACAGAACAGGACGGCCACGAAAAACACGAGGATACTGCTCCAGAGCGTCAAGAGGGATATCCTTCTCGATAAGACCTCACCACGATGGTGGCTGCGTAGGAACCTTGGGACTCGGGCCTGCACAGGGACGAACGCCACGTCGAAATGCAGGGCCATGATGATGCTGTTGTCAACGCTGGTCGATGCCAAGGTCGGTGAAAATGGTGCGTTGTTCTCTGTTGTTCCACGATGCGCTCAACAAACACAGCCACCACTATCGCACACGTACCGAAGCACGGCGCTAGCCCAGGAAAGAGCCTCGAAGTCGTGCCCGACGCGAAAGTGCGATGGATCGAGGAACCTCGTGGCGCTTTTGTGGGCGAGTCGCTCCTCATCGCAATTGCGCCTTCTGTTGTTCGCCTTCGCAGTCGGACAGGATGTCCGAGGCGAGTTGCCAGGTGGCTTGCAAAACAGCAATAAACACAGGCAGCTCAGGGAACGGAGGGTGGTACCGATGCGGAAGTGAAAGTACGTGCGAATGTGCGTCCACACCGTGCTCTTCGCACGTTCCGTAGCCTGTCTACTGGAATCGCTCCCAGCTCCGCTGCCAACTATAATTGCGCGGGGTGGAAACTGTACGCAAGAAAACATGGCGGAAATAAGACGTATCCTGCGCTGTTAAACTCTCAGTGCAATATAGAGGTCAGCGTCGACGCTCGGGCCAAACATCGGCTACCCCTCCTATTTGAGTGAGGAGGAGGAAGAGGAGGAGGAGGAGGAGGAGGAGGAGGAGGAGGAGGAGGAGGAGGAGGAGGAGGAGGAAGAGGAGGACGAGGAATAGGAGGACGAGGAGGAGGAGGAGGAGGAGGAGGAGGAGGAGGACTAGGACGAGGAGGAGGAGGAGGAGGAGAAGGATGAGGACATTCAACGTCGGTGATCAGACCCTGAAACGAGTGCCACTTCGCTCGGCACGCCCCCACGCTCGGAAGGGCAGGCAGTGGGCGGAAGGCCTCAGCCCCACGTCTCTTGGCGAAGCGGCAGCCAGGACCCTGCGACGCCGCACCTGTGCGGGCCACCTGGCCCGCGCTTGAAAAACTCTCCGAGTGGAAGCCCTGGCGGCCAGTGGCAGGGGGAAGGAACGCGGCGGGGAGGGGAGCGGGGAGGAGGAGGAGGAGGAGGAGGAGGAGGAAGAGGAGGCGGAGGAGGAGGAGGAAGAGAAGCGAGGCGAGGGGGACTGACAATGCCGCAACGTGTGCATCCAACTAATCGCGCCACAACACTCGTAAGAACAGCGCACGGCAAACAAAAGCATGATGAAGTCCAGACGGCCATGCGGCTGATAGAGAAAGTGCCCGAATCTCTATCACACGTGAGGCGGAAGCAAGAATGGGGGGTGGAGGAGGAGGAGGAAGGGCCAGAGAAGCCAGTGGCACAACGCAGAAAAGACAACGCAGGTCGAACGAGATAACTAGGACGTATATTTCGCCCAACGCCAGACTAGACCGCCGAAGAGCCGCGAACGCGGCAGCCAGCGTGCGGCACGCAGAGGGCGCGGCATGCTGGGTCGGGTGGCCGAGAGCGAGCCAGCCGGTCTCCCATATGCATACAGAGAACACGGAAACTCGTGCGGATGCGCCCGCTCGCGCCAGCGGCGTGGACCAGTTGCACGTCAATCGTGGTATGATGTGGATGTGTCAGTCATGTCGGTGCAGGCATGCTTTCGCGAGAATTAAGAACACGGCCAGTGCAAGTATTGATTCTCACGATGGCTAGCGCGCGCTGGAAAGATGAGGGGAGGGGGTCCCATGGGTTTGTCCATAGTTCAGAACCTGGGAGAGCTGGGAGGGTGATGCTGTCATGGCTCCCGCCAGATGCCTGGTCCTTGGGAAGGCTGGGAAAGGCGAACCCGATCGCTGGTCCTGTCGCAGGAGGTGGCAAGACTGGGCTGGTACGAACCCGAGCGCTTCCACAATGAGCATGAAAAGCCAGCGGAATTTTCGACTGCGTGACATGGCGACTAGAACGAATCTCCCTCCGAAAAGGTCCCAGGATAGTGCTTATCGGGCTCGACGAGGCTCCCAATCGCCGCCGAATCGTGTCTAAATGGGATGGTGGGAATAGGCGAAGCGAACGTTGCGAAACCTGGGTTGGCTTTCGGTGCCATTCTTGGTTCATCGCTGGGCCAGCTGTGACACCCGCACAGCGAATGAGGTGATTCCGCGACCCTGACTTTGGAAATCTAGAGACGCTGTGAGAAGCGAACGACGGGGGCGGCCTGCTCGTCGCTCCTCGTCCTCGTCCTCGTCCTTGCCGTCCTCCTCCTTCTTCTCCTCCCCCTCTTCCTCGATCACGAGCTCTTCAACCAAGGGCGGCCTGACCATTGCAAGAAACTTGTAGTATCACCGGTGGACCGCCTGTCAAGTAGATCGAGGAGGAGGGGGAGGAGGTCGAAGAAACCTACGGATATAACGAACCAACTACCTGGCCGGTGCTTTCCTGCCACAAGCCGCCGCGTTCGCCGGAGAAATGAATGCTCACACGCAGGCTGATCCAATGGAAATCTAACTGCTGGACACGACCGTCGGCGGGCGGGGTCGCCCCAGGATGCGCCGTCCGCTCGCTCCGCGCTGAATCTGGCTTCTCCCTGCTGGGGTGACCAAGGCTCGACCCCCAGCGAGAGCCGTGGCCCTTCTGCCGTAGGTCTGAAGAGCGTTCTCACCTTAGCTGCCGCCCCAACGCCTTTGCTTCGTTCATTGACGTCGATGCGGGTGCGCTCGGGCAGCCGTTTGCCGAGGCCAGGGCGGCGGCCGCGGAGGCCTCCCATTTGCCAGTGGCCTCGTGGAAGCTGGCGCAGACCCCGAGCGCTCCGTCGAGCTCGGAGGTGCCGCCTCCGGTGCGTGGCGCGGGAGGTGGGGGGGGGGGCTGGGCGGGAGGGAAGGGGGGGGAGTGGAGGGACGGGGTGGGCAGGAGGGAGGGAAGGGGTGGTGTGGGAGAGTGTTGGGTGGGCGGGAGGGAAAGGGGGGAGGAGGGAACGGGAGGAAGAGCTGGGAGGACCCAGGGCAGGGACTGAGAGGGCGCGAGTAGAATAATGGAAGCAGTGTGAGATGCAGCTGTACGCATCCTGGCATCGCCCACCCAAGATCGAATCGTTCGAAGGTGGTGCGGCCTCGGTGGCTGCGTGAGCCCCTCTGCGAGCGTCAGGACTGACTAATCTCTTGGATCCGTCTGATATCGTCAGACCGACGACATGGCCCTTTCCTCCACATTGCATGCCATGTAATGTGCCACGGCCAAGGGCTGCATGTTTCTGACCACGACGGCGACATCGAGCCCGCGTATGGGCAGCCAACTTCAAATGTGCTTGAACATATTGTCACCCACACTTGCGAGTCAGGTCTGTCTGCACGTCGAATTCGCAACAATCGCAAGCTCCATGTTAAATCCCCCGAACACAAGCGGTGGACATCGTACGCCCAGCAATGCCGAACCTAGCTCTGCCAACTGTTTTGCATTGGTAATGCCTCGAGGTTCCCTTGGCAAGGTACATGCTGGTGCTAGATAGGCCGCTAGTTCGTCGACCTTCGCCCAGACATCGGCAATGTCTTGGACATCCATACATACCAGAATAATGCCGCGTTCTGGAGGTGTCGTGGTCTTGGTAGCTTTTCCGCGTCCTTGCCGATGCGCCCGAGAGATTCGAACTGATATCGCTTCAGCGCCCCTGCTACGACGCCCCCTCCTGTAGTCGCGGAGCGCCATGCTGCTGCGACGCCCCGCTCAGGACCCTCGAGAAGTCCTCGCGCCGCGAGTCAACGTGCGGAGATGTTGCGCATGTGGAGCTCCTTCGGATGTGTGGCCCCACCAGTGCGCTTGTATGGCCCGGCCCCTGCCCCCGCCGAAACCCACGGGGGCCCTGCCCCTCCCTCCGCTGGGCTCCGCCCAAACCAGTTGCAGTGATGAAGTGCACAGGTGCACGGCGCCCAAACACTTCCAAGGTGCCAGCGTGCACACTTGGACTGCGAGTGCCGAACTGCACATGCAAAGACAATGTCGAGAGTCGAATGAAGCAAGGGTGCCTCGCTTCAAGGACTCACCCTCGACGCTGGTTTGATTGCATTCTTCGAAAGGCTCCGTTGTTTTCTGATTTGTCTCAAATGCTTTCAGGTGTATCCAGAGGTCAGCTGATGCCTTGAAGGATCAGAGGGGGGCCATAGGAGGCATGCGAAATGGATGCCCACAGTCGAAGAATGCAATGGTGCCCTGCTCAACGGCTCACCCTCAAACCAGCTTTGACTGCGGAGGGAGGAGGGAGCATGGAGGAGGGATACCATTTTCATGGAGGCAGAGTGGGAGGAGGAATAACAGGAGGGATCATATTTTCGGTTGCACTAAGCCTTGTCTAGTCACTGAGGCCTGAGGATCGCAAGTAGCGACAGGCAGAATAAACGCGCTTGGGCACAGAACTACTATGGGGCGCGATCTCGCAATACACATAATCCTGGGACCTCTGAAAACTACGGTAGTTGGCTGCCAGCGGGACTGCTAAGAATCAACCGGTCAGGCGTTCTCCTTTTCCGAAGATTTTCTCTCAGATTGATCGTTGCCCTGAAGGATCGAAGGAAGGCCACTGGAGACATCGGCGACCTTCCTCCCTCCTCTCTCCTCTCTCCTCCGCTCCCCTCTTCACCCAACGTCTAGAAGTATCCATCAGAACCTTTTTGGTAGTTTTCTGACTCTTGTCGGTCTGGAGACAATGTGGGACAATAGCCGGATCTCGCCAGGGAGAGCTACGGGGCCCGCGCATTGAGAACATCAGGACGCGTGGGGCCTGGCGGCGGCGAAGCGAGAGGGGGCTGGCGGAGGCAGCGACGACTCGGTCGCAGTCCAGAGTCCAGGCCTCTGGCGTCACGCCGAGCAACTGCAGCGACGGCTCGTATTCCCGCGCTTCGGGCCTCTGGAGACCAATCTCGGGGTCTGGGACAATGAAATGACGACACGGGTCGTGCAACTGGCCCTGTGAGTGGAGTCGGGGGCCACGGGCGCGTCCACGCCTCGAACAAAACATATTACGTCGGAGAGCTGGTCCAAAATCGCGACGCCGCTTTCGCTCCCATACGGCCGCATGGCGCACGGTCCGAACCCTCCTCATCGGCTTGGACCTCCGACCTGGCGATCCTCTGAGCTCGGAGCCGGCGTCGCATCGACGAAGTCGCGACTGCCCTGCCAAAGGCACGCACGTTGTGAACTCGAGGGCCACCCTCCTTCGCTTCGGCCACGACGGCCGTGCTGCGGCGGACAAAAGTACGCAGGCGACCGTCTCATCGGCCGAGGCGCTACTGAGCAACTGGCCCCTGGGCAAGATCGTGTCGACCCGCCAGGCTCTGGGACCCAGCCTGCCTGCGAGGCGGGCGGTGGGCGCCGCTCTGATCGTGCAGCGCTCCATTCCGCCGAAGGTCACGAAGCCCATCGAGTCGCCATCGAGCGACGCCTGCAGGAGCAACGCTGGAAGCAGGTGCGCTGTATAGGTGAGCCAGGCGGCCAGCGCAAGGATATCACAAAGACCATAAGCGTTGGAGCCGCAGGCCACGGCGGTGCCGTTGCTCCTGCGCAACTCCGTGCGGTCCCTTCCCGCGACAGCGTGTGTGTAGGTTAGGCTCGCAGCCAGCGCCGCGAGGTCACTCTGACGATCTTGATTGCCGCCGCAAGACATGGCGGTGCCGTCGCTCCTGAGCAGAGCCGTTTGGTACGCTCGCAGCGGCCAATATCCGCAGCTGAGCCCGGCGGGAGGCGCCCGATCTCAGGGCGAGGCGCGACGGGGGCTGCGCGTCGGCGGCCCTGGTTCGATCCTAGAGCGGGCGCGCGAGGGCGTGGGGAGGGCGGCGGCCTGGAGGGCGTCGAGGAGACCTCTTGGAGTCAAGATGTCGAGCAAGGCGTGCCCACGGGCTGGAGGCCTGGAAGGGGGGCCGCTGACTCTCTCCCCCTAATTATTCACTGCGTGGGGATCCCCATATGTGCATCTCCTTGCTGGCGCTCCCTTGGTGGTGGGACTCGGTGAGGACGAATCTGGATTTAAGTGTGACTGAGCTGCCTCTCTCTCTGCTCTCTCTGCTCTCTCTGTCTCTCTCTCTCTCTCTGCCCTCTCTCTGTCTCTGCCTCTCTTTCCCTGCCTCTCTCTCTCTCTCTGCCTCTCTCTCTGCCTCTGTCTCTCTGCCTCTCTCTCTCTCTGCCTCTCTCTCTGTGCCTCTCTCTCTCTGCCTCTATCTCTGCCTCTCTCTCTCTCTCTCTCCTCTCTCTCTTCTCTCTATTCTCTCTCTGCTCTCTCCTCTCTCTCTCACTCTCCCTCTCTCTCTCTCTCGCTCTCTCTCTTCTCTTCTCTTCTCTTCTCTCTCTTTCTCTCTCTCTCTTTCTCTCTATCTCTCTCTCTCTTTCTCTCTCTATCTCTCTCTCTCTCTCTCTTCTCTCTCTCTCTCTTTCGCTCTCTCGCTCTCTCTTGCTCTCTCTCGCTCTCTGTCGCTCTCTCTCGCTCTCTCTCTCTCTCTCTCGCTCTCACTCGCTCTCTCTCGCTCTCTCTCGCTCTCCCTCGCTCTCTCCCGCTCTCTCTCTCTCTCTCTCTCTCTCTGCTCTCTCTCTCTCTCTCTCTCTCGTCTCTCGCTCTCTCTCTCTCTCTCTCTCTCTCTCTCTCTCTCTCTCTCTCTCTCTCTCTCTCTCTCTCTCTCTCTCTCTCTATCTCTATCTCTCTCTCTCTCTCTCTCTCTCTCTCTCTCTTCTCTCTTCTCTCTCTCTCTCTCTCTCTCTCTCTCTCTCTCTCTTTCTCTCGCCTGTCTCCTCTCTCAACTCCCCCTCTCTCTCTCTCTCGCTCTCTCTCTCTCTCTCTCTCTCTCTCTCCCTCTCTCTCGCTTCCTCTCTCTCTCTCTCTCTGCTCTCTCTCTCTCTCTCTCTCGTCACGGGCTCGTGAGATCAGCCAGGGTGGCTCCCCCTTGGGGCTCCCAAATGATGCCCCTGGCAGCGTTTTGTGACCATGAGGCTCTCAAGAGATACATGTTGGGGAGGCCAAACGGCAATTCTAGCTGAGGCGTCCCACCAAAATCGGCGCGAACGGGCTCGTGAGATCAGCCAGGGTGGCTCCCCCTTGGGGCTCCCAAATGATGCCCCTGGCAGCGTTTTGCGACCATGAGGCTCTCAAGAGATACATGTTGGGGGCGCCAAACGGCAATTCTAGCTGAGACGTCCCACCAAAATCGGCGCGAACGGGCTCGTGAGATCAGCCAGGGTGGCTCCCCCTTGGGGCTCCCAAATGATGCCCCTGGCAGCGTTTTGTGACCATGAGGCTCTCAAGAGATACATGTTGGGGGCGCCAAACGGCAATTCTAGCTGAGACGTCCCACCAAAATCGGCGCGAACGGGCTCGTGAGATCAGCCAGGGTGGCTCCCCCTTGGGGCTCCCAAATGATGCCCCTGGCAGCGTTTTGCGACCATGAGGCTCTCAAGAGATACATGTTGGGGGCGCCAAACGGCAATTCTAGCTGAGACGTCCCACCAAAATCGGCGCGAACGGGCTCGTGAGATCAGCCAGGGTGGCTCCCCCTTGGGGCTCCCAAATGATGCCCCTGGCAGCGTTTTGTGACCATGAGGCTCTCAAGAGATACATGTTGGGGGCGCCAAACGGCAATTCTAGCTGAGACGTCCCACCAAAATCGGCGCGAACGGGCTCGTGAGATCAGCCAGGGTGGCTCCCCCTTGGGGCTCCCAAATGATGCCCCTGGCAGCGTTTTGTGATCATGAGAGAGTGTGAGTGTGAGCTTAACTTATCTTATCGTATCTTGAAATCTCTTCTTATCATATCGTGTGTTATCTTATCTTATCTGGTAGTATATTATCTTGTCTTGTCTTATCTGGTGATTGTCATTGGGAGGAGGGAGGCGCGAGCGGGAGGAAGGAGGAAGGAGGAAGGAGGAGCAGTGGGAGGCGTCAGAGTAATAACAAGAACCCCAATCCTTAGGATATGGGGAATAATCCCTATCCCCCTCGTCGTCCTCCTCTTCCTCCTCCTCCTCCTCCTCCTCCTCCTCCTCCTCCTCCTCTCTCCTCCTCCTCTCTCCTCCACCTCTCTCCTCCTCGCTCTCTCCGCGTTGAAATCTGCCGCCTTTGCTTTGAATGCATGCAGCGGGCGTTCCTACGCCGTTTCCAATGCTGCCTGTTGAACCTCGTGGAGGCCACTGACGCCACTCTGGGCGCTGCCGCTAGCGTTCCTTCTGCAGCTGGGGCCCAAGGCTGCAAGCTTTACAATCGCCAAGGGCTAGGCCGCGCCATCGACCGTCTTGCATTTGATCGATTGCCACTTGATCACATCGTGAACAAGTTCATGGTGCTCGTTGAGATTACCCTGCACCGCCTCTATGCTGACCTGACTGAATCTAGAAACAACAACTTCGATCTAAGAGGTGGCTTTCTCCGAGATCGCCATATATCCAGTGGGGCACCGAGGCTGCAATGCGACGAGACATATCCTGTGCTGTGCGCGCCGATACCTGCCAGAATTACAAGCTTGAAGCGGATAATTCGCTGCTTGGGTGGCGGGATGAGCCAAAGCGGTGACCGACTCCCTGCCAGCCTTGGCTCCAGGCATGCCTTCGGCGATACTGAGCTGTACAACCAACCGCTGGAACTGAGGAGCTGCATCAAGAGGAGGTGCGCCATCATCCCCACGTGGAGTTGAGGCACCCGCCGGTGGACGCGAGATTCTTTGGCTTGAGCTGTCGGCGAAGAGCGACCTGCCATGAAGCGTAAACACTCTGGTCCCTGCCGCGAGGATGCTGGCCGGCTGCGAGAGGCCTCAGCGAGGCCAGTGGATCCTGCTTGTGGCTCTGCGACGCCGACCGCTCGTCTCTCGTCCACGCTGTCGGTTACGTTGAGGCTCGTGGACCACCAAGCTCGCCTCGTCTGCCAAGGCCGCGCCGCAAGTGATCTCCTTTCCCGAGGTGAAGATGAGAACATGAGGATGTTATTGAGGATACATCTACAGCTGGAACGGTGTTCAAGGAGAAACTCGCCTATGACGCCCAAGCCCATTTGTGTCAAGAGCTTTGGGGATTTCTGAACCGGCCGTGCGCATCCGACCCGATGGAAATTAAGTGAGGACCACGGGAGGTGCTTGTGAACCGCCATACCAACACACGAGGATTGGAGGCTTCCGGACGATCGGCGCTTCTGTATGATAGTTCTCCTCCCTCGAACTGCCTCCCCACAAGAAAATCCTGCCACGACGGTGTGGAACATGGTTTCCGTCACCGCATGAACTCGTTCAATCTTAAACGATCTTCGAATTTTTTGAGCCGTGGGTTTTCTGTGGGTCATCGGGCCTGGACCAGCCCCCAGAAGGTGTTCAACCTTGAACGTCCGCATCCGCGCTGCCGCGCGCCGAAGCGGCACGACCATACCGTAAGCCCGTCTCGACAGTCATGCGCCGCCTTGAGCGTGGTCGACCACCCGAACCCTGCTGCCTGGTTCTAGCTTCAGGTCCACGTTGCTCTCCTCGGGGCGGGGGGCATTTGATCTAGCGGGGTCGAGAACGACGTCTGCGCGTGAAATGCGCCTGCCTCCTCATTCCCATCCGACGGAGAAGTGCGGTTAAGGAGGCGGTCGAACCAGAGGTGGAGCAGGAGGTGGAGGGGAGGGGCCTGACGAAATGAAGGAGGATGGGGACGATGGGCGTGGAGGAGGAGGAGGAGAAGGAGGGAAAGGAGGAGGAAGAGGAAGCTTGCTGCTAGAACCAACCTGGCACCACTTGCCACAGCCAGCCGTCAGAGAAAAAATGGGCGGGCGGGCACACTGAAGAGGTGCCTCAACGGCCGCCCGCCGTTCAGTCCAGCGCCCTCTCCCAGTAGGCGTCCCGCTCACACTGGAAGAATGAGCGGCACGCCGCACCCAGGGAGAGCCTCACCTTATAAGGGTGTCCGCATCGGCGCAGGAGCGAGGGGCGATACTCCGCGGAGGAGGAGGAGGAGGAGGAGGAGGAGGAGGAGGAGGAGGACTGTATTGTAGTGCCGATGCCCATATGGGTAGGCATAACCCTGTTACTCCTTTTCTGGAGCGTAGCTGCTAATGTCGGAGATCGGCCTGGGGAATGCGACGAGCCCCCCAGCGGCTGCAAACCTCTCGCCGCCGCGAGGGCCCCTCCGACAAACAACCGTCTGCCCTTACCGAGGTGACCACTTCGGCGCTCCCCCTAGCTTCCCTACTTTTGTCAGGGTATGAGCGGACAAAAAGCATAACAAATCCAGCACCAACGGCTAGAGCCAAAAAACCGCGGGAGGCCGCGCTCGGTTTGGAAGGGCGTGCCGGCCCATCCGTTATTATCTGCTCGGGTGTGGACCTATTCTAAAACAATTATAATAGGTCAGGAGAAACAAATTTCGGGGTCCGCCGAGACGCCTGTTCTCCCAAACAGTGGCGGGCGTAACGCAAACAAAACCGAACGGATCTAGCTAAGAACCTTCGGGGTCCACCCCGCATCAGGGCCATTGGAACTCCTAGAGGACACCAGTTCTCCTAAGCAGTGGCGGACGCAACGAAATTGTCACGAATCGGCCGCTAGGCTCAAGCCACCCCGCATCGGGGCCACTGTAACTCCTAGGGGACACCATTTCTCCTAAGCAGTTGCGGACGCAACGAAATTGTCACGACACTCGGCCGCTGTGCTCAAGCCACCCCGCATCGGGGCCACTGGAATTCCTAGAGGACACCAGTTCTCCTAAGCAGTGGCGGACGCAACGAACTTGTCGCGAAATTCGGCCGCTGTGCCCAAGCCACCCCGCATCGGGGTCACTGGAATTCCTAGAGGACACCAGTTCTCCTAAGCGGTGGCGGGCGCAACGAAATGGTCACGAAATTCGGCCGCTGTGCTCAAGCCACCCCGCATCGGGGCCACTGGAAGTCCTAGAGGACACCAGTTCTCCTAAGCAATGGCGGGCGCAACGAAATTGTCGCGAAATTCGACCGCTCTGCTCAGGCCACCCCGCATCGGGGGAGACAGAGATGTTACTGTTAACAAAGTTGCCACCCCTCCTTCGAGCGGGGGGCTCAGGCCATGCCCTGGCCAGCTCAGACGCCCTGCCCGCCAAATTGTTACATTCACACCGCTGCGCTCTGTTCCCTCCGAGTTGGAACACGGGAGGCCCAAGATTCGCCCCTACATTTTGTGACGTAATCGAGGCGCAAACATTGAGTGAGCAGCCCAGGGCCTCGCTTAGCAAGACACCGAGCGATTGCGAGAAAGTGACGGGCAGGATAGACGCAGCGAACAACGAGCCCGATTCATTGAACAGCGTTGGCGTCGCGGGGGTGTAGCAGAGTTGGGGGCCAGGGAGAGGGAGGCAGGGAACAGATGGGAGTGGAGCAAGTAAGGAGGACGGCAACAGAAAGAAGCGGGGGAGAGAGGAGAAGGCATGGAAGACAGAGTTGGCGAATGACGGTCGCAGCGGTGGGAGAGCGGGTCACGGGACGGCGCACCGCTCAGGGGGGGGGGCGGAGGAGGAGGAGGAGGAGGAGGAGGAGGAGGAGGAGGAGGAGGAGGAGAAGAAGGAGGAGTACGATAAGGAGGCGGACGGGGGTGGAGGAGGGAGGAGGGAACAGGAGGAAGGATGGATGAGCAATGAGGAGGATCAGGACGAGGAAGATGGGGAAAAAGGAGCAGGAGGCAGTGGAGAAAACGGTTGAGGAAGTGTCGGAAGAGGAGAATGATGATGAGGAGGAAACGGTGAATGAGGGCGGATGCGGAGGCGAAAGAGTGGGATTCATGAGAAGGCAAGGGGAAGCGGGGGAGGAGGAGGAGGAGGAGGAGGAGGAGGAGGAGGAGGAGGCGGAAGGTGAATTGGATGATGTTGTTGCTCTCCATGCTGTCGGACCACCGACTGGGATGATGACAGTGAGGGTGGTTGGGGAAGGTCAACTGTATACTTGTATTGTTCTGGGGGGTTATGGGCAATTGAAACATTCAACGGCCTGGAGCACCGTGGACGCAGCGGGGCCGCAGTATCATGGGGATGCCCTGTTATCTTAACAAGGCGGTTCCTCCTCCGCCCTTCCTCCCCTCTCCTACCCCTGCTCCTGCTCGCGCCTTTACTCCGCCTCCTCCCCTCGCAGGCACCCCGCTGCTCCTCCTGGTCATGATCAGGCTGATTGCCCTCCCTCCTGCCTGCATCGCCCTCCCCGCCGCTCTCGTCGGCCTCCCGCCTTGCTTCTCTGGAGGCCGCCGGGGGCCTCTGGAGGCATCCTGTCTGCTAAACACCCAAGGCCCACGGGTCGCATAACGCAGACGCGGTTGTCAAATCTCTCGGGCGCCTGCCAGGCGGACGGCCTGGCCGCCAGCGCGGCGGCCAGAGTGGAGGAGGTGGCCTTCAGGCTCGGCCGCGGGAGTTCTTTGTTCCGGCCCGTTTCGCGGAAGCTGCGCGTCCGCGAGGACGCGGCCTTGCAGAGAAGTCTTCGGGGAGGCACCCTGACAGCCGTCGCACTGAACGCGCGTGCGGTCGGCTTGGGGTCCCTGCTTGAAGGCCGCCCGAAGGGCGCAGGGAGCTGTGCAAGCACGCCGTCGCACAGAGGGACGCGGGTCGCGGAGTGATGAATTTGGGGGTGGCCGCGGACAGGGGCCACGTTGGCGCTCCAGCCCGTGGCGCCAAGCGCCCCAACCGCGCCGCGCTTCCATTTCCGCCATGTTTGCGGCAGTCGTTCCGCTCGCGGCCCACAACTTCCACGTTGCCGCCATGTTCGCACTCGAAACGCCAATCCGGCGCTACCCGCGCGGGACAATGCGGCGCCGCTCCCAAAATCCCAGCCAAGGGGGCAGAACGAATTCCTGCGAACCCATGATTACGCCCGGGGCTTCAGTCAGTGACAAAAGCCCACAATGAATATTATTTCCAAAGCGCCCCTCTTCAGTCAGGGAGAAATCCCCCAACGTAACCTGTGTACCCAAACCCCTCTGTACTGAAACACCCTCCCGATTTTCCTGAGCGGCCCCTGGGTGGGATCTTGGGGTGGCGTTCTACACTCCCAGGCTGAATGCGAGCCCCTTCGCGCCCAGGGATTAGATAACGGTAGCCACAGCCAGAGTGCCCAGGTGGCCCCTATCCGTGGCCACCCCAAGCGACACGCGCCCCGCTGTGTGACAGTGTGCTTGCGCAGCTCCCTGGGCAATTTTGGGCGGCTTTCCAGAAGGAGCTCCAAGTCGACCGCGCAAACCTGCAGCGCAGCGCTCTCTCGGGGAACCGCCCCGAAGGCTTTTCTGCCAGGCCGTCTCCACGTCGTGCAGGTGCCGCAAGACTGGTTTGAACAAGGAACACCCGCGGCCGAGCCTGAAGGCCACCTCCACATTGGTCGCCGCTTCGTACTGTGAACGCGTTTAGTCTTCTCACACCAGGAACTGCTCCTCGACTGCCCCGCTGGAGACAGGAAATCGTATGATCCACCATGGGAGGTAAATTCTTTCTCTTGTCTGCTGAATTGTACATGCACGAGTGAAGGGGTATGCTCTCGGACAAAAACCTTAGGTAAGCGCCAATCCTTTTCGGACGCGCTGACAAGGATCAGTTGATTGACTCCTGCAGGCATGTATTTGAATGACTCCTGTAGGCAGTGTTGTAATGACTCCCGCAGGGAATATTGTCTTGACTCCCGAATGGAGCATTGGCCTGCATCCTGTATGCGGTATTGTACTGACTCCCGCAGGCGAAAACGTGCATGGGACCCCACATGGGGACCCCGCACCAGGGCCCCCCACAAGGACTCCGCAGGGACACCCGCAGGGATCCCACCAGGACGTGGACCAAGACTCCCTGCGGGGGTCGATCCAGTACTCCATGCGGGAGTCAGTAAATAACCCCCTGCGGAAGTCAATGCCCTGAACATGCAATCAAGTCTCGATGTTGAGCCAATCCTTTTTCGCACGATGGCTTTTAGATCAGCCGAGGGACCGACACTCCAGGCGTAGGTGTTGTTTCACCACGTGTGTCCCCGGAGCTCTCGACCTCGTCCCTGGGTCTGGCTTCTCGCCGCATGCTGTTTCTGGTGGTCCTGGGGCCGATAGTCTACTCATCGCACATGCTCGGAGGAGTGCGGCTGCTAAGCGCATCCAACGCCAAAGTCAGACGCATCCGCCTCGGGTTCGATGGGACATGATCCAGGGAGAGCTCTTTCTCAGGCAGGCCGTGGGGCGCCCGCGCGCCCGCAGCGGCAGGGAACGGCCGTCGCAGCGGCCGCCGAGGCAAGACAGGGCGGCAGCCTGCCAGGAGCAGGTCAGCGCAGCTGGGCGAGGAACACCACCCGACGCCCAAGTCAATTCAGTTCAGTTCAGCCTGCGTGCCAGCTCCGGCAGAGCGGTCCCCTGAGGGGCGGGCGGGGCACAAGAAAACAACAAGCGCGGAAAGAGGCGAAAGAGGACGCAAGAACAATGGGGTAAGGCTAAGCCGAGCAGCTCTTGTCAATCGGACGCCCCAAATCAGACGCGTTTGACATTCCACCAGAGGCGATCGGGGGAGGGCGGCTGCCCTCGCCCAGACACCGCGCACGGCGCCCTGCTGCCCAAAAGGCAGGGACCTGTGCCGCGCTGCAGCAGGCCGATGTCCGACCTGCGCCACGCTGCGCCTGGAGCGGCGCCCCACCAACGAGCGGCAGGCATTCGATATCGTAGGGCCGCGTCCCCTCCCCCCCCCCGCCCAAGCGGCGGCCCCAAGACGTGCGGGGTCCCGCTCGTCCCCCGCTCCTCGCGCTCGGGTGGCCCCGCGAGCGGGGGCGGCGGCGCGTCGGCGCCTGTGGGTGGGAAGGGGGGCTTGCGGTTCGCAGACCCCCTTCATGTTTACCTGCTCCTCCTGTATCCCCTCACTTCTCTTCCTGCTCCGGCTGCTGCTGTTGCTGCTGCTGCTGCTCCTCCTCCTCCTCCTCCTCCTCCGAGAGAGAGAGAGGTGCACCAATGTGAATGATCTACGTAGTGCTTTTGCGTCGCGTTTATGCGTAGTGTGCTTGCGTCGTGCTTTTGCGTAGTGCTTTTGTGTTGTGTTGTGTTGTGTTGTTGCGTAATGTTTTTGCACCATGATTTTTGGCGCAGTGTGTTGGTTGCGTATTGTCTTTGCGTAGTGTTTGCGCTAGTGTTTTTGCGTGGTCTATTAGCGTCGGGCTTTCTTGCAGGCTATTTGCGTCGTGGTTTAGCGTGGAATGTTTGAGTAGAATTGTTTTCGCGTGAAGCTAGCTTTCCGCGTAATGTTTTTGCGTCGTGCTTTCACGTCATGCGTCTCCATGGTCGGTCCACAGACTCGGAAAAGGGATTCAGAATTGCGAGGCCTAGGGGCGCTTCACAGCGTCTCAATCGGGCGATAGGCAGTGGCAATGCTGGAGACATCCGTGGTGACGCTACTGTGTCGAGGGCTGTGTGGTGCTTCTCTGCGCCGTGCCACGCTGCTCTTTGACATGACAGGGGGCGCGCCACATATTGTAGTTGCGTAATTGTTTCGCGTAGCGTACTTGCGTAATGTGATTCGCGTAACGCGCGGACGTAATGCTTTCGTGTGAAATTAGCACGTAATGTTTCCGCTCGTGTTTTCGCGTAGTGTTTGGACGCATGACCGACCCCGACGAGTGACCATGTCTTTCCCCAGGGGAACTTCCACATGAGAAGGTGCGGCTTCGGCCCTGCCCGATCCCAGTTCTCCGCGGCACAACGGTGGATGAATTATCAATGTCTCCATCACTCTTCCGATGGTCGCCCCGTCCCTGGAAATGGCTTAGGTACACTTTCAGCCTACAGCGAGCTTGGTATCCTCCCTCTTATCTCCCAAGGTCCCTCCCGCGCGTTGCCTGCCCCCTCTCCCATCTTCGCCGTGTCGCCACAGCTGGCAAATGGAGCAGCGGCGGTGCCCCCCTCTCCTCCTTCCCCCTACTCACCTTTCTTCCTCTCTTTTTTACCTAACAGCGAAGACTGATAGGTTTCTAGTAGGCTCAAAAGAGAGCATCATGACTCCTCAGGGGGGGTGGGGCGGGACCCGGGGCGGCTGCCGTCGAAGCCCAAATCGCCTGGGACATCCTCGCAAAATCGCTCTTGGCGCTGCTAGAACTCCATTCCCGGCGTACATTTTGGATGCCCGGAGCCAACTGTAGGCCACTTCGTGGTCTTCGAGTTCCCCGAACTCCATTCCCGGCGTACATTTTGAATGCCCGGAGCCAACTGTAGGCCACGTCGTGGTCTTCGAGTTCCCAGAACTCCATTCCCGGCGTACATTTTGGATGCCCGGAGCCAACTGTAGGCCACGTCGTGGTCTTCGAGTTCCCAGAACTCCATTCCCGGGCCACATTTTGGATGCCCGGAGCCAACTGTAGGCCACTTCGTGGTCTTCGAGTTTCCAGAACTCCACTCCCGGGCCACATTTTGCGTGCCCGGAGCCAACTGTAGGCCACTTCGTCTTCTTCGAGCTCCCAGAACTCCATTCCTGGGTATGATTTTGAATGCCCGGAGCCAACTGTAGGCCACTTCGTGGTCTTCGAGTTCCCACAATTCCATTCCTGAGGCAGGCTGAGGCTGAGGCTGAACAGGCTGAGGCTGAGGCAGGCTGAGGCTGAGGCTGAGGCTGAGGCAGGCTGAGGCTGAGGCAGGCTGAGGCTGAGGCCGAGGCTGAAGGCAGACTGAGGCCGAGGCTGAAGCAGGCTGAGGCTGAGGCTGAGGCAGGCTGAGGCTGAGGCTGAGGCAGGCTGATGCTGAGGCAGGCTGAGGCTGAGGCTGAGGCTGAGGCAGGCTGAGGCTGAGGCAGGCTGAGGCTGAGGCCGAGGCTGAAGGCAGACTGAGGCTGAGGCTGAAGCTGAGGCTGAGGCAGGCTGAGGCTGAGGCTGAGGCTGAGGCTGAGGCTGAGGCTGAGGCTGAGGCTGAGGCTGAGGCTGAGGCTGAGGCTGAGGCTGAGGCTGAGGCTGAGGCTGAGGCTGAGGCTGGCTGAGGCAGGCTGAGGCTGAGGCTGAGGCTGATGAGGCTGAGGCTGAGCAGGCTGAGGCTGAGGCTGAGGCAGGCTGAGGCTGAGGCGAGGCTGAAGGCAGACTGAGGCTGAGGCTGAGGCAGGCTGAGGCTGAGGCTGAGGCAGGCTGAGGCTGAGGCAGGCTGAGGCAGGCTGAGGCTGAGGCTGAGGCTGATGCAGGCTGAGGCTGAGGCAGGCTGAGGCTGAGGCCGAGGCTGAAGGCAGACTGAGGCTGAGGCTGAAGCAGGCTGAGGCTGAGGCTGAGGCAGGCTGAGGCTGAGGCTGAGGCAGGCTGAGGCTGAGGCTGTGACTGCGACTGCCGTTGCCACTGCGACTTTCATCGCGAATGCGACTGCGACTGCGAGAACAGCAGAATTCTACAACTGGATTATCATGTGAATAGTAAGGGAAATGCTTCCAGATATGCTCCTACACATCGCTGTTATTCTGCTTTGCCGGGATAATCAAAGTTTGTCCCTCTTTCCGCCCTCCCTATTCTCTCCTTTTCCTTCTCCTTCTCCTTCTCTTCCTCCTCCTCCTCCGCCTCCTCCTCCTCACGCGTAGACAGTGGAGAGTTCGACAATAGTTAGGTCGAGGCCAGAATCGGCGCAGCCTCAGATGAGCACGTAGACGTTGCTGCAGCCAGCGCTGCAATATCCATAGCGCAGATACCTCTGTCCCGCATCACACTGGCAGGTTTAACCTTCTTGGCCTCTTCACAACAGAGGACCTCCACGACAACTCGATCACTATCTCCTCTACGTACAATCCCAAGCATTCCATTGAGAGCGCTGGATTTGAGGCCCCAGGAGTGGCATGCTCTCCCACAGCAAAGCCATGATGCACGACGCTGGCGACATCCTGGGTAACCGTTGATGGAACCACACCCACATCCTTTGTATCCGAAGCAGTATTATCATCAAACTCATCTCTGATATTCTGACATTCAGCGGCAAACCTGGACTGCACCGCGTCCCAAAAGCCTGTGAATCTCAACTGACATGCTTTGAGACCCTTAGCAAAACGGCGTCAAATGGCGAAAACGCCCCCCCCCCACAGTTTGCATTCGCCCCCAAACCTCCCCCGACACTCCTTGACAGTCGTCTGCCCCCTCCCCCGAGACCCCCAACAGAGGAGGGGGGGCGGTGAGGATTGACATAGACTGTCGGGGGGGGGGGCTGGGGGGGGCGGGCGGGGCAATCAGAAACCGTCGGAGGGTGGGGCAAGGGGGGAGCTGGGACTGTCAAAAAGTGTCGAGGGGGGCGCGTCGCTCGAGACATCCTCAACCCCCCCCCCACCCGTCAGTCTTTGACAGTCCCGCGGCCTCTCCCCGGCCCCCCCCCGACAGTCTTTGACAGCCCCCCGCGGCCCTCCCGGGGCACGGATTGTCGGGAGGGGGGTGCAGGGGGGGGCCGGGCGGGGGGCACGGGGGGGGGCGCGCGAACTGTCGGGGGGGGGGGCGGGCGGGGGGAGCAGGGGGAGTGTCAAAGACTGTCGGGGGAGCCACGGGGGGCGGGAAGGGACTGTCAAACGCTGTCAGGGGGAGGGGAGGGGGGCAGGCCGTTTTCGGCCGCCCGCAAGTTGCGCTTAGACGCGTTAAGCGGTAGACCCTCAGCTCAAGGCTCGAGAAAGAAGAACCGAAGTGGGACTGCATCTCAGCACTGAACTGCCTCAGCTTCTGATCGATGATTCTGGATACCTTGGCCGAATTGTCGCCGACGCTTCCAGCTAAGCACTCGCTACCACAAAAGTTCTGCACTGTGACAGTGACCACTGCAAGCTGTCCACCACGGAGTGTCTCGAACTTTGCAGGCAACCGGCAATCCAAGGATTTAGAGACGCACTTGCCCAGACAGCGAACCCCCCCGGATGCGGGCGTCCAGTTCAGCAGAATGCACAGGAACAAGAACATCCAACCTTTCGATTTTAGCCGTCAGTTCCTGGAGAAGCTGAGAATCACAAGGCCCTTGGACCAAGTCGCTCTGGAGAGGCATTTGCACATTCAGACGCTCCATCTGCCCCAACAGGAAGGTGATGGTCGAGTTCTGGTAGTCAATCAGCATCTGTTCGCCCGCGACCTGCAATCCCAACGCAGCGGCTCGGCCACGAGGGTAGCTTTGGAAGCGAAGGGCAGCGATACCTGAAGCAGAAGCACAACACGTATGAGTGACAGTATCTTTGGATTGACCCGAACTGGGAGGCATTTTTTTATACTTGTGGTAAGAGAGAGCGAATGCGAATGATTACAAAAACTGAAGTATCAAATAACTGTGCATCTGCGGTTGGCCGCCCTTAGGCGCGGCAAAGCGGCGCCCGCGCAACACGGCGTCAGACTGACAGTGCAGCGCGTGCGTGCGAACAGCGAGCGCTCGAACGCTTCTTAGCAAGGGTGGCATCCCCCTCGGGTGACTAGTGACCATGGAGATGCAACGCCGCCCAAAACAAGAAGCTTTTGTTCCGTCGGCGGCGAGGCGGAGGCAATCCGCACCAGCGTGGTGCTAACCGGGGTAATCGATAGGCAAATTGTCTGGCATGCAAGAGAGAGGCGACGACGAGGGCGGCCGCGCGAAGGGTGGAGGTGGAGGGCGCTCAGACGTGGACGAGGTCTGCGGTGAGCGGGCCAGAGCGGCCAGCCAGGGCAGTGGGGACCGCGGCAGCAGCCGGGGCCAGAGCCAGGGCGCACCCGCGGGCGCTGCCAGGGCGCAGTGACGGTGACGATCAAGTAGAACCAGTACTGGAGCCCGAGGACTGCCATCAGCAAAATGCTGAAACCACCAGGTGCGTCGACTGTGCGGTGCCCACTGCTCTAGCGCGGCAGTCGCGTCAGGGGCTGGGCGTCGCGTCGGAGCGGCAAAGGGTGGGTGGGGCTGAGCTGCACGCCGAGGGCAAAGCAGCGCGGCGGCGCCATGGCGGCGCGGTTTGAGGGAGGGAAGAAGGGAACAGGGGCAGAGGAAGGGGAGGAGATGAGCGCCCCGCCCGTGGGTGGCACCCGACGGGCGCGGCGGCAGCAGCCCGCGGGGCAGTGTGAGCGGCGGCCTGGCTGACCGTTGGGAGGCACCCGTCAATATAACGCCCAGGTGGTGACTGCACTGGGGGAGCGGCAGACTTGAAGCCAGAAGGCTCGTGCGCCCAGAAACGGGCACGCGCGCCGTGGCGGCGTAGTGCCAGGGCCACGGGGGCCTTGGTGGCACGCGAGGGGCGGGTGGCGCGCCACGCGGGGCGGCGGAGGCGCGCCGGGGAAGGGAAGGCGACGGGTCCCTGGGTGAGGCCAGGACTCATTGAACAAGACTTGGGGCATAATCGGAATAGGATCGTACATCCATGTGCCCATAGGTGAAATCCCAAAGCCATCAAAACCATAGACTTGTGAGACGCAATCCGCATGAAACCGAGCCGTCGCCACGGAAGGCAGAAACCTCCCCAAAGCACAGTGGAAATCCCCCAAGTGGCCCCCGCCTCCGCAGTCTGGGTACCCTACCCCTGCTTTGCAGGGGAGGGTATCAGTCGCGGGGTTGGGGGTCACATCGGGAGATTTCCTATGTGCAGGGGAAGAGGCCAATCTGCCTTCCCACTTGGCGAGTGTGGCTGGCCCACTGTCCACGGCGAGTGGCTCCCGCCACCGTCGGGATGGCCCAAACCTCTCGATGGACACCCCTAGGCGGCCCCGAGGTCAAAGTGCTGGGAGCCCTTCGCCTGCTTGCAGGCGAGGAATCCTGCCTTTGGCCTCGGGAAGTTTGTAAGGGGATTCCTTTGAGCCGAGGGAGAGGCCCTTGGGCCATCCGACTCGGCGAGCGTGACTAGGGACCGCCACCGCTTTCCGCCACCGCCTACTGCAATGCTGCGCGCAATCGCCACACCTCCACCGCCACGTATTGCCGCGTTTAATCATACATACCCTACCTCAACGTGTGTTTTCCCACTTCTGCTGTTCAAGCATCAGCCCGACGGCCTAGGCGGCAACCCTTTACCGCCACCGGAGCGCCACTGCCCTGTCACGCGAACGTCAGCCACCGCCCATGTGGCAGGCGCGTTGCCTCCTGCCTCATGCGCGAGAGCGTGTCAGGCGCGTGTGCACCGTGCGCGAGCCACCACTCCACCTCCCTTCACACCTAAGCTAAGCAAGGGCACCTCAACAGAGGGGGAACCCTAGGGCGCCACCAGGGCACTGGCCCCGGGAGGCCCGGGGACCCGACGAGGGTGGAGGACCCTTAAGACGGGCCCTCCGGGCTCCATCAAGCGCCACACGTACTTTTGCAACCACCTGCTGCCGCCACCAGCATTTCTCCAGCTACCTCTCCCACCTCTTCGGTACGATATGATGATTTGTCTTTGTGATGACCTCCCCTCCGCCCTCCCTCCTCCACTTCAACCTAACAAATACTCTGCTTCTTTATTCTACTCCCCCCAGGGCTGGCCAGACGGCCAGCCCTGGGGGAAGCGGCAGCGTGCGGAGCACTTTCATGCCATCAGGAACCAGGAAACAGGAGGAGGACGAGGAGGAGGACGAGGAGGAGGACGAGGAGGAGGACGAGGAGGAGGAGGAGGAGGAGGAGGGCGGCGAGGAGGGTGGAGGGGGAAGGCGGCGTTGGAGGACAACGCAGCAAAAGGATCAACGCCGGGGCAAGCTGGCGACGGCTGCGGCGGCCAGCAGCTCGGCGGCTCTGCGACGGGAACGGCAGCGGCGGCACGAGACCGCGCGGGCCTCCAGTGGCTACTCCGGGCGGCACGGAGCCGCTGCAGGCGGCGGCCCGCAGCCCCCAGCGGCGCGCTGGCGCGGCCAGTTCCTGGGCGGGGGTGGTAGGGGACAGGAAGGGGCGTGCAGAGGGAGGGCGCCGCCCCCCTCCTCGCAGAAGAGGACGAGGGGGAGTATGATGATGGTGATGAAGACGCCGAATAATATCATGATGATATGGTGGTGATGGTGATGTTGATGCTGCTGATGATGATGACGGCGTTAACGGTGATGAGGACTATACTGAACACTCTGATGACGATGATTATCATAATGCTTGTGATGGTCGTAGTGACGATGATGCTGCTGTTGCAAAGGACGGCCGCGGTAAGAACGCCCTAAATAATTGATGATGGTTATGATACCGGCCATGACCATGCTGCTGATGATGCTGATGATGATACCGATGGTCATTATGCTGATTATGATGGTGATGCTGGTGGCGACGGTGACGGTGATGGTGACGATGATAGCGATGATGATGACGATGGTGGTTGAGATGATGCTTAGCATGGTGGTGATGATAACTGTGCTGATGTTGATCAAGTTGATGATGAAGACGGGGAGGGCGGTAAGGAGGGACGATGCTTGTGACGTCGATGACAATAGCGATGGTGATGACAATGACGGCGAGGATGATAATGACGATGGGGATGGTGATGATGGCGATGGTGGTAACAGTGGTGACAATTCTTCCACTGCAAAGGCCGGTCGCGGTGCGAACGCCCTATGGGATGTTGATGGCGGTTATGACCGATGATGTTCACGACCATGATCATGATGACGGTGATGGTGACGATCATGATACCGATGCCTACAACAACAAGGACGATGACGATGGCGATTCCGATGATGTTTATGATGGTGCTGGCGGTGATGGTGATGATTTTGGTGATGATGGGGAGGAGGATGGGTGTGAGGGATGATGATGATGATGATGATGATGATGATGATGATGATGATGCTGCTAATGATACAAACGATGCTGGCGATGCTGATGCGGATGGTGACGATCATGATAATGATGATGATGTTGGTTCGTGTTATGATTCCGATGCTGCTGTTGCAGAGGACGGTTGCGGTGCGAACGCCCTATAGTTAAGGTGTTGAAAACAATTATGATGATGACCGTGGCCGTGATGATCATGATGGCGGTGATGGTGATGGTGACAATGGTGATGATTCAGATGTCGGTTATGATGCTGGTGATGATAAGGAACATAGCGATGACGGTGACGATGGCAATGGCAATTCCGATGGTGTTTGCGATGGTGATTGTGGTGATGTTGAGGATGCTGATGATGTTGTTGATGATGATGGGTATGATGGACGATGATGCTGATGACGATGGTGCTGGTGATGGAAGTGGCGACGATGATGACCAAAGTGATGATAATGGTGTTGCTGATGATGATGATGGTCGTAGTGATGATGCTGCTGAGGTTGCAAAAGACGGTCGAGGTGCGAACGCTCTTTGACATGTTGATGCTGGTTCAGGTAATGGTCATGACCATGATGATGCAGTGATTTGTGATTTTGATGGTGGCGACGGTGATTGTGATGGTGGCGATGGTGATGGTGATGGCAATTAGGATGATGATGACGATGATTGCGATGACGATGACGATGGACATGGCGATTGTGATTATGATGGTGATGGTACAACTGTTGATGATGCCCGCACATCTGCGGACAGTCGGGCGTTTACTAAACGAGCCGTGCGGCTGCCATCGCCAGGCGGTCCGTTAGAGTGTGGGATGCTTGGGAATCATCGTGTTGGCGTGCGTGAAGTGCTTTTGGAGGTGTCCGTGTTTCAGTTTGTGGTACGTCTCAAAAGCGTTTAGGACTGGGTGGGGGTCCTCCAGACGCTTGGCACGTAGACCAATGCAGTCGAATCTCTGGGTAGGCGGAGATGCGCCCGTCGTGCAATACACCGTGGACGCAGCAGGCCGCAGTCGGCGCGGTGAGCCCAGTCGCCCGCTGCAGAGCAGCCAACAAGCACCGGTGAAGAGTTCCCTCGTGCATCCCCGCGCTGGTCGCCCACCCACCCATCCATATTTTCAGGCACGTGGGCGAGATGCGAATGCGAGCAACTAGGGCAACGTAGTCGATGACATTGACGTCGCTGGCATGCTCCGGCCAATGTCGGCGCAGCCGGGCCTCGGGCATGTCGTGAATGCTCGGCTGGAAAATCACCTGTTTGAGTATGAGATGAGCGCTCCTCTGCACGCCTTTTTTCGAATCCGGGTTCCTGGCGACCTCGTTGACGGCGGCCGCCATGGAACCGCACGCGCGAGAGTAGCGAGAGAACGATCCGGAGCAGCGCGATGGGCGGCGCTGCGAAGCTCGGCCAGCGGCATCTGCCAAATGTAGCGCGGATCAGCGCAATTACGCAGGCCAGGGAGGCGGAGTTTACGTCGACGGCGCCGAACTCGGACGCTCGCGCCACCCGGCAAATAATGAAAGTTGACGGCGGCACGTGCCAGAGCTCGTCGATGCCGTTCTCGATCTGGGCGAGGGCGCGCGGCGGAAGTCCAAATTCGAACAACGCGCAGCATTGTGGGAACAGCCTTGATTTTGCGCTCCTTGACCGTGGTGGTGGTGGAGCCTTCGGCCTTGGAGTATGCGTCTGCTCGTTGCTGACATTTCCTCGCATGCGCGATGTATGTCGCAGCCTTCGCGATGGCGAACTGGGCCCACTCGGGGGCGATCGCGCGCAGCCGGTCCTGGACCGGCTCGACCATCTGGAATGCGAGCGTGGCGTAGAGAGGGACACGTTGGCACTTTTTCGGTTTAAGCCAGAGGGCGACATATTTTTGTATATACTTGAACGCGTTGGCAAACTCTCTCAGCGCGCTGAGGTCGAAGATCGCAGCGCCGGCATCGTCAGCGCAGATGCGCGCGGTGCCGAGCCTTTGAGGTCGACGGTGCGTCGCGTCCTCTCCGCCAACGTGCGCGTCGACGCGGCGCGCGCGAAACCGCTGAGCAGGCATACCTGCCACCAAAAAATTAGAGCCGGAGTGCAGTATCCCCAAACAGGTTTTTAGACCCACTGCGGTTTCCAAGGTCGATTGCGTGCCCGTCCAGTGCGGGCTGGCATGGCATGTTAAAACATGCCTCCTCCTCCTCCTCCTCCTCCTCCTCCTCCACCTCCCCTTCATCCCGAACGGCATCTCGGAGCCCAGAGTTGCGAGGATGTCTCCAGCGTAACGGGCAGGACCACCTCGCGCGCGGCATTTCGGACCCCAGAGTTGCGACGATGTCTCGGGCGAAACATGCTGCGAGGAAGTCTCAGGCGAAATGGGCCGGACCACCTCGAGCGCGGCGTCTCAGAGCTCCGAGTTGCGGGGGCCTCCTGGAGCCTCTTGGGACCTCCTGGTGACCTCCTGGGGCTTCCTCCTGGGCCTCCTGTGGCCTCCTGGACCCCACCTGGGGCTTCCTGAAGCCTCTTGGGGCTCCCAGGGGGGGATATCTAACATGTGGCCGTCGGGGCCCCCCAAAATGGGGGGGGGCCACAAGAGCAGAAAAAAATCAACGAATCGGCACCGGATGTGTATTAACTTGACACGTTCTGATAGGGGGCCTCCTGGGGCCTCCTGGGAGCCTCGTGGTCTTCTGGGCCCCCAGGCTGGACCACCTCTTGCGCGGCATCTGGGAACTCAGAGTTGCGAGAATGTCTTATGCGAAACGGGCCGGACCACCTTGCGCACGGCATCTCAGAGCTCAGAGTTGCGAGGATGTCTCAGGCGAGATGGGCCGGACCACCTCGCGCAGGGCATCTCGGAGCCCAGAGTTGCGAGGATGTCTCAGGCGTAACGGGCTGGACCACCTCGCGCGCGGCATCTCGGACCCCAGAGTTGCGACGATGTCTCGGGCGAAACGTGCTGCGAGGAAGTCTCAGGCGAAACGGGCCGGACCACCTCGAGCGCGGCGTCTCAGAGCTCCAAGTTGCGGGGGCCTCCTGGGGCCTCCTCGGACCTCCTGGTGACCTCCTGGGGCTTCCTCCTGGGCCTCCTGTGGCCTCCTGGACCCCACCTGGGGCTTCCTGAAGCCTCTTGGGGCTCCCAGGGGAGGATATCTAACATGTGGCCGTCGGGGCCCCCGAAAATGGGAGGGGGGCCACAAGAGCAGGAAAAATCAACGAATCGACACAGGATGTGAATTAAACTTGACACGTTCTGATAGGGGACCTCCTGGAGCCTCCTGGGAGCCTCCTGGGAATCTCCTGCGGACCCCTGGGTCCTGTCCTGGGCGTCCTGCGGCCTCCTGAAGCTCTCTGGGGCCTCCTGGGGCTCCCAGCGTCCCATGGGGGATATGTAACATGTGGTCTTCTGGGCCCCCAGGCTGGACCACCTCTTGCGCAGCATCTGGGAGCTCAGAGTTGCGAGAATGTCTTGTGCGAAACAGGCTGGATCACCTTGCGCACGGCATCTCAGAGCTCAGAGTTGCGAGGATGTCTCAGGCGAGATGGGCCGGACTACCTTGCGCAGGGCATCTCGGAGCCCAGAGTTGCGAGGATGTCTCAGGCGAGATGGGCTGGACCACCTCGCGCGCGGCATCTCGGACCCCAGAGTTGCGACGATGTCTCGGGCGAAACGTGCTGCGAGGAAGTCTCAGACGAAACGGGCCGGACCACCTCGAGCGCGGCGTCTCAGAGCTCCGAGTTGCGGGGGCCTCCTGGGGCCTCCTGGGGCTTCCTCCTGTGGCTTCCTCCTGTGCCTCCTGTGGCCTCCTGGACCCCACCTGGGGCTTCCTGAAGCCTCTTGGGGCTCCCAGGGGGGGATATCTAACATGTGGCCGTCGGGGCCCCCTAAAATCGAATCGACACAGGATGTGTATTAACTTGACACGTTCTGATAGGCGGCCTCCTGGGGCCTCCTGGGAATCTCCTGCGGACCCCTGGGGCCTGTCCTGGGCGTCCTGCGGCTTCCTGAAGCTCTCTGGGGCCTCCTGGGGCTCCCAGGGTCCCAGGGGGGATCTGTAACATCTGGTCTTCTGGGCCCCCAGGCTGGACCTCCTCTTGCGCGGCATCTGGGAGCTCAGAGTTGCGAGAACGTCTTGTGCGAAACGGGCCGGACCACCTCGCGCACGGCATCTCAGAGCTCAGAGTTGCGAGGATGTCTCAGGCGAGACGGGCCGGACCACCTCGAGCGCGGCGTCTCAGAGCTCCGAGTTGCGGGGGCCTCCTGGTGCCTCCTGGGGGCTCCTGGGGACCTCCTGGGGCTTCCTCCTTGGCCGCCTGTGGCCTCCTGAACTCCACCTGGGGCTTCCTGAAGCCTCTTGGGGCTGCCAGGGGGGATATCTAACCTGTGGCCGTTTGGGCCCCTCAAAATGGAGGGGGGGGGGGCACAAGAGCACGGAAAATCAACGAATCGGCACCGGATGTGTATTAACTTGACACGTTCTGATAGGCGGCCTCCTGGGGCCTCCTGGGAGCCTCCTGGGAATCTCTTGCGGACCCCTGGGGCCTGTCCTGGGCGTCCTGCAGCCTCCTGGAGCTCCCTGGGGCCTCCTGGGGCTCCCAGGGTCCCAGGGAGGATATGTAACATGTCTTCTGGGCCCCCAGGCTGGACCACCTCTTGCGCGGCATCTGGGAGCTCAGAGTTGCGAGAATGTCTTGTGCGAAACAGGCCGGACCACCTTGCGCACGGCATCTCAGAGCTCAGAGTTGCGAGGATGTCTCAGGCGAGACGGGCCGGACCACCTCGCGCAGGGCATCTCAGAGCTCAGAAGTTCGAGGATGTCTCAGGCGGGCTCCCAGGGTCCCAGGGAGGATATGTAACATGTGGTCTTCTGGGCCCCCAGGCTGGACCACCTCTTGCGCGGCATCTGGGAGCTCAGAGTTGCGAGAATGTCTTGTGCGAAACAGGCCGGACCACCTTGCGCACGGCATCTCAGAGCTCAGAATTGCGAGGATGTCTCAGGCGAGACGGGCCGGACCACTTCGCGCAGGGCATCTCAGAGCTCAGAAGTTCGAGAATGTCTCAGGCGAAACGGGCCGGACCACCTCTCGCAAGGCATCTCAGAGGTCAGAGTTTCGAGGATGTCTCATGCGAAACGGACCGGACCACCTCGCGCAAGGCATCTCAGAGCTGAGAGTTTCGAAGATGTCTCAGGCGAAACGGCCCGGACCACCTCTCGCACGGCACCTCGGGGCTCAGAGTTTCGAGGGTGTCTCAAGCGAAACGGCCCGGACCACCTCTCGCGCGGCGTCCCGGAGCGCAACTTTTCGAGGATGTCTCAGGCGAAACGGCCAATCCCGGCCAACTCAGAAACGAGAGTTGTGAGGATGTCTCAAGCGAAACGGCCCGGACCATCAAATTTTTGTGAGGATGTCTCTGCTCCGACTTCCCTCGGCCGGAGTTAGCTCCTATCACAACAACACCCCGTTCAGAAAGCTGTTTTGGGAAAAAGCTGTCTCTGGGATAAGATCGAGAGGTCCGCGGACGCACGTCTCGAAATAAACATCTGGACGTCGGATGTCTGGGGATGGCGGGAGGCAAGGCGCGCATGGCGAATGCTGAGGCGGCAAAATGACGGAGACGGCGACGGGGAGGCGGAGGCAGAGCAGCGAAAGGCGAGAGGCGTGAGGAGGAAGGAGGGAAGAGGAGGCAGGCGGGAGGCAAGAGGAGGGAGGTGGGAGAAATGAAAGAGGTTTCAGGCAGAACGGGGCGCACCATCTCGTGCGCAGCATCTCGAAGAACCCTGACGAAGAACCAGTCCCGGGGACGAGATCGAGAGGTCCGCGGGCGCACGTCTCGAAACAAAAATCGTGACGTCGGATGTCTGCGGAGGGCGGAAGGCAGGGCGCGCATGGCGGCATCTCGGAGCTTCGCATTGTGAGGACGGCTCGGGAGAAACGGGCTGGACCGCCTCGCGTGCGGCATCTCGGAGCTCAGTATTGGAAGGATGCCCCAAGCGAAACGGGCCGTTTCATGCAACTCCATTCCTCATCCCTCCTCCTCCTCCTCCTCCTCCTCCTTCTCGTCCTCCTCCTCCTCCTCCTCCTGCCTGCTCCCTCCTCCTCCTCCTCCTCCGGCACGTTTTGAGACGTCGCTAAGAGGAATATAAAAATCTTGTTTGGGGAACCCTGTCTCGGAGCCCAGAGTTGCGAGGATGTCCCAGGTCGCACCTGGTCGACGAGTAAGCTGTCGGGTCGGCACTGTGACAGGCTCCACCGCCATGCTGTGAACTCAGAAGCAACTTTAAGAGGAAGCGGGGGAGGGCGCGGAAGCGGGGGGGCATGTCGTGATGGTTCCCTCGGGGATGATATCGAGAGGTACGCGGCGCACGTCTCAAAAGAAAAATCGTGACGTCGGATGTCTAGGGAGGGCGGAAGGCAGTGCGCGCATGACGGATGCTGAGGCGGCAGAAACGACGACGGCGGGGACGGGGAGGCGGAGGCAGAGGCGCAGCAGCGGGAGGCGGGAGGCGGGAGGAGGGAGGAGGGAAGAGGAACCAGGCGGGAAGTGGGAAGAGGAAGGCGGGAGAAGGAATGAGAGAGGGTGTGATTGGAGCTCCTGTGCTACGAAACGTCTCAGGCAGAATGGGCCAGACCATCTCGCGCGCAACATCTTCGAGCCTCGCATTGCGAGGATGGCTCAATCGAAACGGGCCAGACCACCTCGCGAGCGACATCTTGGAGCTCAAAATTGGAAGGATGTCTCAAACGAAACGGGCCGGACAATCTTTCGCGCACGTTTTGACAAGTCCACATCGCACTCGCTTCCCGTTAGGTCCTCTCCTGCAACTCCCTTCCGTCTCCCTCCTCCTCCTCCTCCTCCTCCTCCTCCTCCTGCCTGCTCCCTCATGCACATCATCCGCCTCCTCCTTCTCCCTTCCATCTCCTTCTCCTTCTCCTCCTCCTCCTCCTCGACCTCCTCTTCATCCCGAACGGCATCTCGGAGCCTAGAGTTGCGAGGATGTCTCCAGCGTAACGGGCTGGACCACCTCGCGCGCGGCATCTCGGACCCCAGAGTTGCGACGATGTCTCGGGCGAAACGTGCTGCGAGGAAGTCTCAGGCGAAACGGGCCGGCCCACCTCGAGCGCGGCGTCTCAGAGCTCCGAGTTGCGGGGGCCTCCTGGTGCCTCCTGGGGCCTCCTGGGGACCTCACGGAGCTTCCTTCTGGGCCTTCTGTGGCCTCGTGAACTCCACCTGGGGTTTCCTGAAGCCTCTTGGGGCTCCCAGGGGGGATATCTAACCTGTGGCCGTTTGGGCCTCTCCAAATAGAGGGGGGGGCACAAGAGCAGGAAGAATCAACGAATCGACACCGGATGTGTATTAACTTGACACATTCTGATAGGCGGCCTCCTGGGGCCTCCTGGGAGCCTCCTAGGAATCTCCTGGGGACCCCTGGGGCCTGTCCTGGGCGTCCTGCGGCCTCCTGGAGCTTTCTGGGGCCTCCCCCTCCTCCTGCCTGCTCCCTCATGCACATCATCCGCCTCCTCCTTCTCCCTTCCATCTCCTCCTCCTCCTCCTCCTCCTCCTCCTCCTCCTCCTCCACCTCCTCTTCATCCCGAACGGCATCTCGGAGCCTAGAGTTGCGAGGATGTCTCCAGCGTAACGGGCTGGACCACCTCGCGCGCGGCATCTCGGACCCCAGAGTTGCGACGATGTCTCGGGCGAAACGTGCTGCGAGGAAGTCTCAGGCGAAACGGGCCAGACCACCTCGAGCGCGGCGTCTCAGAGCTCCGAGTTGCGGGGGCCTCCTGGTGCCTCCTGGGGCCTCCTGGGGACCTCATGGAGCTTCCTCCTGGGCCTTCTGTGGCCTCGTGAACTCCACCTGGGGTTTCCTGAAGCCTCTTGGCGCTCCCAGGGGGGATATCTAACCTGTGGCCGTTTGGGCCTCTCCAAATGGAGAGGGCACAAGAGCAGGAAAAATCAACGAATCGACACCGGATGTGTATTAACTTGACACGTTCTGATAGGCGGTCTCCTGGGGCCTCCTGGGAGCCTCCTGGGAATCTCCTGGAGACCCCTGCGTGGGGCCTGTCCTGGGCGTCCTGCGGCCTCCTGGTGCCTCCTGGGGCCTCCTGAGGCTCGCAGGGTCCCAGGGAGGATATGTAACATGTGGTCTTCTGGGCCCCCAGGCTGGACCACCTCTTGCGCAGCATCTGAGAGCTCAGAGTTGCGAGAATGTCTTGTGCGAAACAGGCCGGACAACCTTGCGCACGGCATCTCAGAGCTCAGAGTTGCAAGGATGTCTCAGGCGAGACGGGCCGGACCACCTCGCGCAGGGCATCTCAGAGCTCAGAAGTTCGAGAATGTCTCAGGTGAAACGGGCCGGACCACCTCTCGCAAGGCATCTCCGAAATCAGAGTTTCGAGGATGTCTCAGGCGAAACGGGCCGGACCACCTCGCGCAAGGCATCGCAGAGCTCAGAATATCGAAGATGTCTCAGGCGAAACGGCCCGGACCACCTCTCGCACGGCACCTCGGGGCTCAGAGTTTCGAGGGTGTCTCAAGCGAAACGGCCCGGACCACCTCTCGCGCGGCGTCCCGGAGCGCAACTTTTCGAGGATGTCTCATGCGAAACGGCCAATCCCGGCCAACTCATAAACGAGAGTTGTGAGGATGTCTCAAGCGAAACGGCCAAAACCATAAAAATTGTGTGAGGATGTCTCTGCTCCGCCTTCCCTCGGCCGGAGTTAGTTTCTATCACGACAGCACCCCGTTCAGCAAGCTGTTTGGGGAAAAACACCTCGACAAAGTAAACGCACATACCAGAGATGAAAACCATGTCCAGGTGGTGCAAGGCCTGGAGGAAAGCGAGGATACCGCGCGGCGCTCCGAGAGCGTCAAGAGAAACCCAAATCCAGCTGTGCTGCAAGCTGGGGAAAGCAGCAGCTATGTCCCAGAAGGCTAGGACGGGCGTTCGATGTGCACTCGAAAAGTGGCTGTGCGTCGGGGCCGTGCAATCGAGGCCGACGATGTTCCAGGCCAGCTGGTGCCGAGCAACGAAGCCCCGCTGGATGGAGGAGACGCTCTTGGACGCGATGTCCCGCAACAGACAGAACGTTACTATGCCGCAGCATTGCTTGCGCTTTTGAGACTCGACGGCCTGGTATCTTCTGGCTTCCGGATGATCTCCGCGGCGTGGCCTGCGGGGAGAAGATAGAACGGACATGTTGAAGGTAAGCGGCATTGGGAGAACGGCGAGCATGTGGAGCGCGACTTGAAGCAATGTCTCCGCGCCCGAGTCGCCTGCGTGCAACCAGGAGTAGGCGAGGCCGTCGGGGCCAGGGCTCGAACCGGTCGCGCGCTTGATGAACCTCTTGATGAGGTTAGTGGATGGCGCCGGCACCGAGCTCCAGTCAAGCGGGACGGCCGAGCGCAGATGGAACTCTCCGGTGACGGAGGCTTCGGTCAACTGCTTGCCGAAGTGTTGAATCCATGCGCTGGCCAGTGCCTTGGCCTGGTCCTCTGGGTGGCGAGTAAGCATGTCACCGCCAAGAGGGTTTGGAATGAGGAGAGCACCCAGGAATAGTTCCTTAGAAGACAGGAGGTGCCACCGGGCTTTGCTCTTGCTGACACGTGCCTGGGAGCAAAGCTTCTTGGCGATCGAGGGAGAAGTTCGTTCCGCAGCATCTTGATCCAGACGATCGGCTTCAGCGGCGGTGTCGGCGGCAGCGATCATGGAAAGTGTCGGCGAAGCCTTGAGGATCGTGCAGGGTGACCAGGCCCCCGTCGAACGAGACAAAGTTACTGCCATTCGCAAAGTTGGTCACGACTGCGTTTGCAAGACCGCATTCGTCTTGCCGAACAGCTCGTGCTAGAGAGGCCATGGCAATCTTCTGCGCGATGTCGCAGTCCGGAGTGGTCTTCAAGATCATGTTGCGCACGATCCGGCCCGTCTCACGTATGATGACTTCTTTGTGGGCCTCCCACAATGCGATCGTGGGCAGGCTAGACACATTCACGTTCACCCACATGTTGTCGTGAATTTCACGGAACCTGGGATGACGAGCCACGTCACGAGGAATACCCTGGCGGTAAACTGGTCGTGCAAACCTCGGGCCGATGTGGAACATGACGGCGGCGTGGTCGCTGATCTACTGGAATCGGAGCCGCAATTGGTCGTCGAGCACCGTGACCGCTACCTGGACGGAGCCGATGGCCCAAGAGGGGATCGAGCTGCAGATGCGGTCGAGGCGGGCGTACTTGCCGTCAGCGTAGTGTGTGGCTTTCCGAGTGTCGTAGGCCGTGCATCTATCAATAAGGTGCGCGGTAGACACGTGCTACGAAAACCTATGACGCTCAGGGGCAAGCGGGCCCCAGAACACTTGAGCACGCGTGTCTACATCGATAAAACTCTAGTCGCCGAGGAACCACACAGATTTGGAGAGGGGGTCGGCCTTCGCAAGAGTGATGTCCGACATGGCGAGGTTCTTGACTTTAGCAAGGTCGTGGTCGCTGATGTTGTAGTTATGGACGACCCATGAGGTCCCGCTGAAGCTGCTGGCATTCACAACGCTGCGACTGATTATCTTTTCCGCGAGTCTGTCACACTCGGGAGGGGTCCCGGCAAATGTCCAAGAATTCTTTACCAAGGCGATGCCACCTCTGGAGCTGCGTGGCCCAGCGGCGCCGGTGATCCGCCAGTCGCGCGCCACTTCTGGGAGCAGCGAACGGAAGGCCTCGACGGAGCAGATGATGATGCTGCTGCTGATGATGAGGATGAGTATGATGGATGAGGGATGATGATGATGAGGAGGAGGATGAGGAGGAGGGCGATGACACACACATGCCAATTTCTCCGACCCCGTCGGCGTTCCTCGGCGTGTGAAAAACTGCCCCTTCCCAAACTGCTTCCCCCAAACTCAATCTGGCAGGTTTGGGTATTGGGGGGGTGGGGCCGCTGGCGCTGGCGGACTCATCTCGCCGAGGAATGTTCCCAAGCGCGCGAGAATTGCCCCAGAGAGCCATACGATGGACCAAGACGGCCTGAAGACGGCGGCCCAAGATGGCCTCATGATGGCCCACGTCGGCCCCCAGGCGGTCCAAAATGACCTCAAGAGAAACCAAGAGACTCCTAAGACAGCCCAAGAGAGCCCGAGGAGGACCCCCAAAGAGGCCAAACTCGTCAGATTCCGTTAGTTTTTTGGATACTTTGGTTCTCGCTGCTGAGGGCTCGGCCACAAAACTTGTCCGAAGCAGCCCGCCTCTTCTGGATTATGCGGCGGCAACCACTGGTAGCACCAAGGCTCGCCGCAGCAGCCAATCGCGAGCAAACAGAAAGGTCCAGGCTCGGCGGCGGCAACAAGACCATCGCCCCTCCCTCTACCCGTATGCGTTGCTCCGTCAGTTTGGCCGACGGTCCCCCGCACGGCAGCAGCTGCTGCCTTCTTCTACTATTTTCCTCCTCCTTTCCTCCGTCGCGGCCCATAAGAGTCTGAAGAGCGGGATAAGTGCCTCGGGGGAGAAGGACTGGCTGGGTGCGGAAAGTTCCTTCACCAGCTGACCGCCGTTGGTTCGCCGGACCTTAGTCACAGGATAGGGTCAAGAAACATGTCCCCGCTTGTTCACTTGTCGTGTCTGCGGTGATTAGCGTAGCAACGCGGCTGCCAGGATCAATAATCGCTCCAGGGGTGACGACTTCAGCTTCATGCAAAGGTGGAGAATGGAGGAAACGATAGAGAGAGAGAGAGAGGAAAGATGCAAGCTGGATGCACATAGGCGCCCGGGCATAAACATTGGGTTCGGCCGCCAACCATCGTGCTCTGCGAGGTGTGCCCTCCCACTCGTTCGTATGTTTGGCCCGCCCCGTGTAACGATGTTCGCACGGGATCAGCTCCTGGCTAACTCTCTGCTCCAATGCTGATTGTTTTTCTTGGCTCTCCTCTGGCCCTCCCTATCACTTCTTGGTGCCCTTCGTCTTTCCTTATATCTCTGCCCCTGCCTATATAGCTCTGCGCGTACATGTATGTATACGTGTATGTATGCCTGTATATATATACGTGTATGTATGTATGTCTGTATGTATGCATGTACGTACGTACGTACGTACGTATGTATGCATGTACGTATGTATGTATTTATGTGTATATATATACACTAGAACCACGCGCGCGCTTCGCGCGCGCTTAGGTTCTGTCGAGTCACAGACCCAGGAATCGTTGTGAGAAGAAATTGGGGACGCGAAGTCGAAGCCAATCTGGCGCCAATCTGGCGGCCCCTATCGGGCAAAAATTGGCAATCTGGCGGGGGAGCCAGCGAGGTAACAGATTGGCGAGCAAGTAGAAATCTCCAACCTGGCCACGCCAGAGTGGCCCCTGGATCCCAAGGCAATCTGTTAGTCTGGCCTTCGGCTACCCAGGAGAAGGGCGAGACACTGAAATCTTGGGACGCGAAGTCGAAGCCAATCTGGCGCCAATCTGGCGGCCCCAATCTGGCAAAAGTTGGCAATCTGGCGGAGAGCCAGCGAGGTTACAGACTGGCGAGCAAGGAAAAACCTCCAACCTGGCCAAGCCAGAGTAACCCCTGGAACCCAAGGCAATCTGTCAGTCTGGCCTTCGACTGTCTAGGAGAAGAGATACTGAAATCTTGGGACGCGAAGTCGAAGCCAATCTGGCGCCAATCTGGCGGCCCCATTCTGGCAAAAGTTGGCAATCTGGCGAGGGAGCCAGCGAGGTTACAGACTGGCGAGCAAGGAAAAACCTCCAACCTGGCCACGCCAGAGTGGCCCCTGGAACCCAAGGCAATCTGTCAGTCCGGCCTTCGACTGTCGAGGAGAAGGGCGAGACACTGGAAACGCAAAGTCGTCTCAAAATCGACCCCGGGACTCCGAACGCTCCAACGTTTCGGGCTGCGCCCGGCCGCTGCGACGAGGGGTCCTAGACCAAGGTGCCCCCAGGACTCCCCGGGAAGCTTCGGCGGCGTCCACAGCACCCCTCCTCCTCCTTCTCCTGCTCCTCCTCTTCCTCCTCCTCCCTCTCCTCCTCCTCCTCCTCCTCCTCCTCCTCCTCCTCCTCCTCCTCGTTTTCCTCCTCATCCTCGTCCTTTCCCGAGCGATACAATAACAACTTGCGTGGAACCCCTCTCGGGCCCATCTTGGGGCTCTCTTGGGCCGCCTTTGGAGCCTCTTGGGGCGTCCTGGGTCTCTCGTGGGGGCTTCTTAGAGCTCTCTTGGCGCCTCCTGGAGCCTCTTGGGGCCGAAAACTCGGAATTCTACAGTGGCTTTCTCCCTCTGGGACCCCTCTCGGGCACGCCTTGGGGCTCTCTTAGGCCATTTTGGAGTCCAATTTTGCCGTCCTGGGCGCCTCGTGAACCGTCTTGGAACTCTCTTGGGGGCCACCTAGGCCGTCTTGGGAGCCTCTTCGGACGTGTTGGACGCGGTGAACACCCAACAGGCGACCATGCGAAAAGTATACGTTTTCCCATAGGAATGGGACCATTTTTGCTTCTTGGACCTCTCTTGGGGTGCCTCTCGGAACGTCTTGGGCTGATTTTGGAAGCCTTTTGGCGCCTCTGGGCGGCGTTTTGGCGCCTCCTGGGATGTGTTGGGCCGGAAGCTCGGAATTCGAGAGTGGCTTTCTCCTTCTGGGACCCCTCTCGAAGTCGTCTTGGGGTTCTCTTGGGCCGTCTTGGGGCCGTCCTGAGCCACTCGTGCGCAGCCTTGGAGCGCTCCCGGAGGCCTCCTAGGCCGTCTTGGAGGCCTCTTGGGCCGTCTTGGACGCGGTGAAAGCCCAAGATGCGAACATGCGACAAATATACGTTTCCCCATAGGAATGGGACCATTTTTGCTTCTTGGACCTCTCTTGGGGTGCCTCTCGGAACGTCTTGGGGTGCTTTTGGGAGCCTTGTGGCGCCTCTTGGCGGCATTTTGGCGCCTCCTGGAGCCTCTTGGGCCGGAAGCTCGGAATTCGAGGTTGGCTTTCTCCGTCTGGGACCCCTCTCGAACTCGTCTTGGGGCTCTCTTGGGCCGTCTTGGGGCCGTCCTGAGCCACTCGTGCGCAGCCTTGGAGCGCTCCTGGAGGCCTCCTAGGCCGTCTTGGAGGCCTGTTGGGCCGTCTTGGACGCGGTGAAAGCCCAAGATGCGAACATGCGAAAAATATACGTTTTCCAATAGGAATGGCACGATTTTTGCTTCTTGGGCCTCTCTTGGGCTGCCTCTCGGAGCGTCTTGGAGGCTTCTGGGACCGTCTTGGTGTCATGACAGGCGTCTTGGAAGGCATCTGGAGCCATCGGAGCGCGTTCCGAAGTCGCCTGCGAACGATCTTGGACGGCGTCCGGCGGTCCGACGAGCCTCCGGGCCCCCCGGGACCCACATTTGCGGTCGAGGTCCCGGCCTCGGGCCCCCGGACCCGGTGCGCCGTTATATGTATATGTATGTATGTATGTATGTATGTATGTATGTATGTATGTATGTATGGATGGATGGATGGATGGATGGATGGATGGATGGATGGATGGATGTATGTATGTATGTATGTATGTATGCATGTGTGTATGCAGGTGTGTAGGTATGTCTGTTCTGTCTGTCTGTATGTCTGTATGTCTGTCGGTCAGTCAGTCAAAATTCATGTATGCATGTATGTTCGTACGTACACATGTACACATGTGTGCATGCATGTCATGTATGCCTGTACGTACGTCTGTACATTTGCATGTATGTATGAATACATGTATGCATGCATGCAGGTATGTGTGTTTGTGTGTATGTATGTATATACGCTCGTTGATCCTTCACGACGGAAAGCTATGTTTGTGTGTTCCCCCTCTCCGGTAACACATGCATTTCTTTTACATGACTTGTTCCCCCCGGGGCTCGCACCCTATTCGTCATCAGGGGAAACCTCTCGGTTTAAACTGCGTTGTTGGCCCCCAGATTACAACAACAAAGGTTCCCGCTTGAGACTCCTTCGCATTTTACTCCGGAGTCGCACTCTCGCTGGGGATTTCCTTACAATTTATTCAAGATTCGCTCTCTCGGCGCTCTGGAGTCGCGCTCTCGATGGAGATTCGCTTGCGATTTCCTCAAGAATCGCGCTGTTGCAGTGGACTTCCCAACAATTTACTCAAGCGCCGCGCTCCCGATACTCAGGCACCCAGGACTCGCGCTCACGCTTAGGACTCCCTCGCGGCCTACTTAAAAATCCGGATCCCGCTGCCTTACGAGGCCCAGTTGTAGCCCTTCGTGGCCCCCCCGATGCCCTTCGTGGCCCCGTTGCAACCCTTTGTGGTCCCCTCGCTGCCCTTTCGTGGCCACCTTGCAGCCCTTCGTGGCCCCCTCGCTGCCCTTCGTGGCCCGTTGTAGCCCTTCGTCGCCCCCTTGCTGCCCTCCGTGGCTCCGTTGCAGCCCTTCGCGGCCCCCTCGCTGCCCTTCGTGGCCCCGTTGCACCCGTTCGTGGCCCCTTCGCTGCCCTTCGTGGCCCCCGTGCAGCCCTTCGTGGCCCCCTCGCTGCCCTTCGTGGCCCCGTTGCAGCCCTTCGTGGCCCCCTCGCATGCCCTTCGTGGCCCCGTTGAAGCCCTTCGCGGCCCCCTCGCTGCCCTTCGTGGCCCCGTTGCACCCGTTCGTGGCCCCCTCGCTGTCATTCGTGGCCCCGTTGCGGCCCTTCGTGGCCCCCTCGCTGCCCTTTGTGGCCCATATACGCATGCCCTCCGTAAGCCCTCGCTCGTCCGCGCCAGTCGTGACCCCATATGCATGCACTTCGTGACCCCGCTGTCGCCCTTCGTGGCCTCCTCGCTGCCCTTCGTGGTCCCGTTGCTACCCTCAATGGCCCCGTCGTCGCCCTCTGTGGCCCCACATCATCTGCCCTTCGTGGTCTCATGCTCATGCCCTTCGTGGCCCCGTTGTCGCTGTTCGTGGTCTCCTTGCTGCCCTATGTGGCCCCATGACTGCCCTTCGTGGCCCCGCTGTCGCTCTCGCTCTCGCTCTCGCTCTCGCTCGTCGCCGCCGTCGCCGTCGCCGTCGTCGTCGTCGTCGTCGTCGTCGTCGTCGTCGTCGTCGTCGTCGTCGGCCCCCTGTCCGTCCCTCTTGGGGTCGGGCTGCCGCCGGTCAGCGCTGCCGCTGGTCAGCGCTGCCGCTGGCCAGGCCGACGGTCCGCGGCCGCCCCGCCGCTCGTTGGGGCCCGGCCTACAGGGAAGAAACATTGAACTCCAGAAACACGTTGAATGACACTCGAGCAGATAAGAGTGAACAGTCTTCAAATGATAATGTTGTGAATTGTTAATTACTAAACAATTATAAATGTTGCCCCCCCCCCCAGGCGCTTTGGCGCTCTCGTGAGGCGCCAAAGCGCCTGGGGGGCGCCGAAACCAGCCTCCTCCCTTTAAACTCAGTGCCGGTGCTCTTGCTCGCCGCCGAAAGTCGCCGTCCCAACAAAACCAGCGCTCCCGCTCGAGACTTCCTCCCGTTTTACGTTGGACTGGCGCGCTCCTCTTTCTCTCATCGGCGCCGCCCCCAGCAACAAAAACGCTCCCGTTCGCGACTTCCTCTCTTTTTTTACTCAAGGCGGTGTTCCTCCTCGCCGCCGAAAACC